GCCCAAGATCCCAAGAGGAGAAGGGATTGCGGCGTGACCATCCCCTCTGGGGGGTGATTTCTCGCTTTCTGTCTCTCTGTCTCTCTCTGTCTGTCTGGCGAGCGCATGCGCCCTATAGCAAAAAAAATCTCTCCAAAAAAAAAAAAATTAAATAGGCATATGTTTTTTAAAATATTAATTTCTAAGTTAAAATATAGAAATGATATTAGAAAATCAGTATGATTAAGTTTAAAATAGGTACCTATCATGACCAACAGATGGCATAATGGTTACATACTGGTACTTCCACGTAGTTGAACATGGTTCAAGTCCTGGACCTGGCAGTTTAAAACTCATGCCAGGTGCGTGTGTGAGCATGCTCAGAATCCTGAGAGGAGAATGGAGGAGAAGAGATGTGGCATGGCCCCTTTCCCTGAGGGATGATTTCTCACTTTCTGTCTCTCTGTTTCTCTGTCTCTCTGGTGAGTACATATGCCTTATAGCAAAAATCTCCCTTGAATAAAAGATAGTACCTATCAAGGCATAAGGAACATCACTAAAGTGGTACTTGGGAATTTATAGACTTAAATGCTTATGAAGAAAGACTTAAAAAAGAGAAGACAAAAATTGAGATAAGCATCCAATTCAATTAATTAAAAAAATCATAAAACCAAAAAAGTAGAGAGAAAGAAAATAACAGAATAAAATGAAACAGAAAACAAAGATGATCAAAGGTGAAAAGCTGGGTCAGCCCTGTGGGTGCCAGATCCCATGGCGGACTGAGTAGTCTGAATTCCAATCCCAGTAGCCTGAAAAATATGCCAGGTGCACGTGTGTGCATGCCCCAAGTCTTGACAGAATGGAGGGACAGAGGAGAAGAGACTGTGGGGTTACCATGCCCCACTGGGGGGTGTTTTGTCTCTCTCTGTTGAGTACACCTGCACTCTGACAGATTAAAAAAAAAAGGCAATTCTTTATAAATATATTTGTATTTCTTTTCCTTTTCTTTTCTTTTTTTCTTTTTATTTTGCCACAAGGCACATGCCTTGTCTAAGGGACAAAAAAAAAAAAAAAAGTGAGAAAGCTCTCCCCACCCCCCCCACGGTGACATCGCAATCTTTTCTCTTCCATTTCTCTTGTCAGGATCTTGGGTAGGAATACAGCCATGCACAGTATATTTTTCAAGCTGCTGGGTCTCGGGACTTAAACCATACAGCTGGCAATGTGGGATCCAGCTGCCTTAGCCACTAGGACATGGGGCTGGCCTGAACAAGAGCATTTTTACTTTTTTTTTTTCA